GGGGGGGCACCTCATCTTAGATTCAGGTAAATATGGTAACTATTACATGCCCTTTCATAGCCCACCAAGACCAGATGTTAACATCTTGAAAAAGACCATAAGTTTGGCTCCACCAGAAGTAGGCACTGTGCATGTGGTTTTATATTATTGAAGCAGGAATATTAAGAGAGGCAGGAGACTCAGACTAACATTCTTTCTTTATGGATCATTTCTATTTAATTCTATCTGCATGAAACTGGAACTATATAGGGCAGCTGAGTGTTTTGGTCCTTCTGCATTCAATTACCAAAAATTAACAATTAACAATTTAAAAAAAACAACTAAGAAGTCACAGATGCAAATTTCCAAATCATTGTTAAGCCATTCTGAAATAGAAACCATAAGTGAGAGAGTGTGTGTTCCTATTTTACCTACCAAGCACTATTCATCTTAATCAAAATATAGGAAATGAACCTGATTTCCTTATTGTAACATTTTATTATGTTAGTATTATAAAAAAGATAAGCTGAAGTAAAACATTTTCTAAACTGGGATGTGCTTGAAAGCAAAACTCTTTTTGACCAATTTTTCAGTTATTGGAACTTCTGCTGTAAACAGATAAAAGCCATGAGGCACGTAGTAATGAGTAACATAATAGCTTGGAAAACACATGGAGTTAATGAAAATATATGTTTACTGTCTTGCAAGTTTTGGTGATATTTTTGTTAAATGTCTGAACTGATCCAAACTGCAAGTGTTGAACTATAGCTGACAATGCCAATAGAGAAGCCTACCATTTCGATGTTCTCTTGTGTTACAAATTTCAATTTATTTTCCATTCGGCGTAAGGCATGCGACAGATCTTCATTCTTCCTACTGAGTCGTTTATTTTTATCCAGGAGGGGTTTATATTGACTTTCTGCTTCTCTCAGACGTTTTAACTGAAATATTAAAAAAATATATATCATCATGTGATTTTTATTTATCTCACATGCCAATATAAATGATTAAACAAAAGTCAATTTCACTACAAGAATAAGAGAAAACACTCCTGATTTTGAAAAATGCAAAGCAGAACAGGCAAACCCTATCACATAAGTAATTTTTGGCCTGTTTCATTGATATCAGTGTGTTTTTTTATCAGCCCCTTGATGAATTTCCACCAAATTCCTCTTCACTGAAGATGCTTTCGACTATTTTTTTCTATTGAACCATTTCTTATGTGATCCTCATCACCAGTATATGTGAGCATTTTCCAGTCTCATGAAGAGCAGATATTAGATATTGTTATTTCCTTTGTTCTCTTTCTTTCTGTCAGCAGGTTCTGGACTTGAGTATGCTTTGTTCTTCTGTGACATTATTGGGGGAAAGTTCTTCTCTCTGCTCTGCCCGTTGAGAGAGAGGGAAGAGAAGCCTGTATTAGCGGTATTGACACCTGTCTATAAGGAAAAGGGTCACTGATCTTAGGGTTTATTTTATTTCCCTGCCCCAAAGTAGAGGTCAACATAATAATGTGACTCTCTAAAGTGTCTCTCTTGGGGCTTATTAAAATTCATTAACAATAACCAAACCCAAAGCTACACTGGGCTTTTTCTGACCCTATAATCTGTCAGTACTCTATGAGTAATGTATAATGGGAGAGAGAGACATCCTTGATGTGCAGTGTGAGCACATTGTAGAAAAAATATACCCTTAGGTGATGTATTTAATGAAAGGCTATGCTGAAAAATAAATGCCAGCCAACATCACCTTAAATATAAAATACTGTTTCATTGTTTTATAGACAAACATATTTTGGTGATGTCATATTACAAAATGAAATACTATCTGGCATAAAAGGATGAGAGCAATCAAATATCCAGACTTATTTTCTCATGTAATATGCACACTCTACATGCATTGCAGGGTTACAGACATTACTGATTTAATGTTCTTTATAAATTCAGCCTACATGGCATCCTGTTTTACTGCCCTTGTTCTCAACCCTCGTATAACATTTGTGGATCCAGTGCAATTACACCAGAGTTGTCTTCAAGTCACAAAATAGCCACATTCAGTAACACTTCTGTGGTAATATTCCGGGTATGGCATTATGCCTGTAACTCAAAAGGCATTTTAAGAAAGAGCAAATAATTAGGGTAAACATGGAAGAACACACATTTACTCCCAATACATGAAACAAACATAATTCTGATTTTGTTTTATAGTCTTATGTTTCCTTTCTTCCCATCTTCAGTTTCAAATGCCACGTAGTTTCCCGGTTTTTGAAACCAAAGTGGAAGTGCCAAGACAGGAGCATGATATTTACTCTGCAGGCCCTTGTTTAATCATCTCCAATATCCAAATTATGACAGTGGCAAAAAGACTGATTTTTCAGAGACCCCCTGCACCACAATTTACTTATCATATTTTGCTCTGTTATTCAAAAAGACAGATTGAAACTGCAAATACAAACTGAGAAATGTCTATCTGACTCTTGTCTCTTAGAAGCAGGCAATGAGTTTTTATCTCTCATTATAATAAATACAATTACAATGAATGACTGATTTTAACATTTTCCAACCCTTAATTTTCAGCTGACTCTGTAAAAGTCTGCAGCACTTAATTTTATTATATTAAGCCTTTTCTCACGGTGTTTCATTCTGAAAGAAGTTGCCTAACAAAAGTTAGACAGCTCACAAAAAAAGTTTCAAGAAATTTCCAGCCCAGTTTTGTAGATCTGTGATGTTTGAATAAGCATCTGAAATTTAGGTTGTTAATTGAGCTAAACCAAGCTGTATTCAAGATACATTCAGGACTAAACAATGAACTACACCAGGATTCAGTAGTAAACTGATGGATGAGTGCATTGTAAAACTATACTACATAAATTCGATTTTCTTGTACCTTCCCAAAATCAGTGTGGATTTTTTGTTCTCCTTCCTTTCAAAATACCCCTTGGTCCAGTACTCTCAGAGAGATGCTTGAGGGACAAAAGGGAGTGGATTAGAGAGTATCACTTTATAATTCTGGTGCTACCCTCCAAAAAGTGTTGCAACTCTTCTGTTTCCAGTTCAATTGATTAAAAAAATCACTCATCACCCTTCCATACTATCTTGCTCATGTGCCTTCCCTCAAAGAGAATTTCCTATAGAGTAAATGCTACTGGGACAAACTCCACAATATTTTGCAATGTTTGTCTGATGACATGAATGATTTTTTGAGGTTTTACAGCTATAGCTGTGTGGTATCGATGGATAGGTAATGTTAGACTACATTCAACTGTATCATCCTTATATTTATATGCATTGTGGTAGTCCCCTGGTCATAACTGGATCAGGAAAGTCTTCTGGTTTGGTAAACACATATTTGGGGGGGCAGATATACTATGGACTTCCTGTTGGACTTCCCAAGAATCCAATGGATAATGTATATAAATGGCTAGGTAAGAAACCATGTTTAACCCTTGGCATGGAGCAAGTATTTGTGTTTGGTATTCCTGGGCATAGGGAAACATTTTGGGACCTCAGCTAGCAGGCTGAGTATAAGCTCTATTCCTTGGTTTACGATGAAGAGTAAGATCAGGTTATTGTTCTGATATATCATTTCATGTGTTCTTATATCTCTGTCTATCTCAACATATGGTTAGTGATTTCTTATGTTTGCTCTTGTTTTTATAATAAATCTTTCTGTTATCTTTTATAGCACGCTTACTGTCAGAGACAACTTTGATTTAAGAGCATTTGACTATACAGGCAGGGCTCTTTCAAGAAAGTGGGGAGGAGGGGGACAGGATTTATCTTTTCTGAGCACATAACTAAACAATAGTGTGTTCCTTCTAGCTGGCAAAATCCCCTCTGTTAAAGAGCTGGTAAGACCGCGGTAAGGCAAATAAAGCTGAGGTGCCAGGTCAGGGAGGTTAGCTTTAGAGTATCTCAGTCTGTTCTCAGTGGTCAAGCAGCAGATGGCAGAGAAGGGTTTGGGGCTAACAGGCACCCCTGAAGGTGTAAGAACACCCCTGGGAGTGTGTCTTAAAGATGCATCTGACTGTAAATGGGCTTGGGGGTCTGTCACAACTATTTCACAGGCTTTTACTCTTAGGACAATAGGAAAGACCTCCCATGCAAATCTGTGGAAGGTGGGAACGAACAATACAGAAAGGCATGCAGCTGCCAAGGCTCCACACTCTGCAGTACACTCTCCTGGAAACACCGGATACACATGGTCATACCTTCTAAGAATCTTCTGCATGTTTGCTCCCACATAATTACGAACATCCATTCTCCTTTTCAGGCCTTCTATGCAGCCCAGCAGGTTCCCCATCACTCCTTGGCAATCTAGTAGAAGCTAAAACTAACTAACGATCAAATCTTCCCCAAGGAAGGTCATTGTCTTACTTTTTCTGCAATAGGCCCCAGGTGAAGGAGGATAAAAGAGTGCAGTGTTGTCTCTAGTGAGTGTTTATCTGCCACCTCAAATTCTGATAAGCATTCATTTCCTGAAAACTAATGGCAGTTTCTACTTACAAGCTCATTTCTTTCTTCTGACAGCAGTGCATTCCGATCTTCCAGCTTCCTGATGATTGCACTTAGTTCAGCAATTTTAAGTTGGAAACGACGGGCATCCTTTTCATCCAACTGCTGTTCCTAAAACAAAGATCAACTGCAAATAACTGTTCATAGATGCAAATAACTTTACATAGGTAACTATGTAAAAAAAAAAATCCCAAACCCCAGCTTTTTAAATCTAAACATTTCTAATCTGTATATGTAGAAGAATGTAATTTATGCCTTTGTAGAACTGATCACTGAAAACTGCATGATGAGATCAACAGAAAGTTAAGGGAGCAGAAATGTAACAAAGTATGCAAATGCAAAGTATGTATATGCAAATACAGAATCACAAATGTTAAACTTGGAATTATGAAAGAAAACATTGAAATCCAAGGCAATATTTCTAATATATGCCACTGTTGAACTGAGAGTTTCAGATGTGTGACCCACTCTTAGTACTTTGTTAGAGGGAAATGATATTTATACATACTGAAATATAAATGCACAAATGCCATGCAATTATACCATTGCAACTTCTATGAAGTTGTTGCCCTAGTTTAGATTCTAGAGGGTCACGCATCAAACATATAGGGCTGTGCTTTAATCTATCAAAAATGAAAATGCTTCAATCAAATTGTAAGCAAAACCAAATATATAGGAAGGCATATTTTTATTCTTCAGAATCAAAGAGCAGTTACATTTGTTGACAAATTATGATTTTTTTCTCTATCAGGCATTTAACCTAATATTTGATGAAACAAGAACAGAACTTTGATCAAAATGAGCAAATTAATATTCATAATCCTAAATGTAACTTTCAGAAGGTCTAAGATTCCTCATTCAACAGGTGCAGGAGAGGCTCTGAAGAAAGAATAAAAGAGATTTTTGTATATGTTCTCAATTATCTAGTCTTTTACCAAGAAAATTAAGAATTGCTGCAAAAGAAATCTTGATGAGAATCAACAATGAAATATATATCACAAACGTATGAAGCCAATTAACTGTTTTTTTTAATATTAGCAAATGAATGCAGAAGCAGCAGGGTGGAATAGTTACACATAAGGCAATATAAAAGGGTGACTAAAATTTAAAGCCATTAGTATATTGCATAGTATGAAAAAGCAGCAGAGAATAGGTTAGTAGGCATTCAGTTCACTTCCTAGACCACTAGTTGAAAGCAAAAGCAAAAAGCATGTAACCATTAGTAACAGAGATGTTCTAGCAGGACCGTATAAGCTTGTATGCTATTGATTGCATTATCTTACTGATTTCCCTCTGCAAATTATACTTGTACATTTGTTTACAATACATGTTAGCTGCCTAGAAAACTAGGACACATACATTACTGAGTTAGAAATGCATTTGCATCATTTGTCAGCAGAGATTGTCAGACTGTCAAATTAAGGCAGGTGGTTGAAGTGTGAATACATTTAAAACATGGAAAATTCCACCTTACTAACATAAAACTGAAACAAAGAAAACAAAAACAAGAAATAAAGTTAGAACAAAACAAAAAAGCAAAAGCTCTCCCATGGTCTGATCTGATTTTAGGTCTGAAAGATGTTTGCACCAAATTAGCAGTGTTAGAAGAAATTTCTTGGTTTTCTCTGTACATCTATGGGAAAGCTGTTGCTTGAATATGCACTCATCAAGATCGTGTCATCTTTTTTTGTTTGTTTCTTTGCTTGCTTTTTTTTAGGTGAAACCACGTGAAAGTGCTTACGGGGCTTCCTGAATGATCTGAAGCGTCTCCTGCACCACTTGCATAAGGAAGTTCCCGTTTGGGGCTGCTCAGATGCCGATCAGACTCTTTGATCTGGGAAAGTTGTTCATCTAAAGCCTCCTTTTGGAGCTGAAGTCTCTGAGCATGCCCGGCTTGAACCCCTAACTCTCTTTCCAGCACGTAGACTGCTCTGTCTTTAAATTTTATCTCCTCCATCTATAAGGAGAACAAAATACAATCACACACGCATGCATGTTACAGGTCTGTGGTTACCATAGAAACTGGCAGCATGACAATGGCACAGCATTTTGGATGATACCCAAAGGTACACAGTCATTATTACAGATTTGACACCCCTTAATACTGAAAAAGAACACTATTTTCTTGAAAATAAAGGAGCAATAAGTGCTTGAAAGTGACCATATGAACAAACTTGCTTAATATGTTCATTAGCATTGCATTTATTTTATTTTAAACCACTTTCAGGAGCCTCCCAGGAGAAATAACCATTATACTTTAAGGGTCTCTCAGTAGATTTGATCAGAGCATTGTTTTTTTCATTCCATTAATTTTTTTAAGTTTTCAGATTTTTTTTTCATTCCAGATTTGGCCAAAAAAGTGAAATTAGAAAAGAAAGAAAGGGAACTGACAATCAGAAAAAATAGTTTAATCAAAGCATTAAAATAAAATTGGTATGTTTTATTTGATTTTCACCATTTTAAACTTTTTAAAAAATGTTATCCATAATTGAGTTAATTTTCAAAACAAAAGCTATTGCAAAACAATACACTGTTTATTTTTCTTTATGGGACTAAAGAAATTAAATATATTGCTAATTTTTATTTTTCCCAATATTTCTTCAGGGTCAAAACATTCAACAAAATTTCTCCTTAATGAAGGTTTTGATTTCTACAAACTGACTTTTTTTTTAAAAAACAAAAAACACTTAATAAATTCCCAGGTAGTTCAAATTCTCCCCTCAAACCTACTATTGTATTTAACAGTGTAATTGAATTCTCAGCATGAAGTCCATGACCTTTATCGTAGTCCCTGTGAATCAGAGATAAGTCCAAACCAACATCCAGCAATGCTCTTTAAATTTGCAGACAAGATGATTTGGAATTAATTTGGATCTGGATGCTAATTTTGGGACTGGATACTTTCTGTATGTAGAAGCCACAGGAGCCATATCTAGGAACCAAATGAAATACCTAAACTTAAGCACTGGAATGAGGTAGGATTCAAAAAACATATTTTGGAATTTTATTTTGTGCCAAGGGCAAACAAAGGTCTATGAGTTGTTTGAATGAAAAACAATAGCTTAAAGCAGTCTGAACAGTTTCTTACGGCTGTGATAATATACAGTATTGGAATAAGACCCCAGAATTTTCTTTCTCAGACTATACCTATGAACACTGCATGTGAATGGACCGGTCACAAGGTTGCCAATTGTGCTTAAAGATAATGAATCAGTGAAAAGAAATTAGGCATATTGACTTCATACAATAACTGTACTGTTCCCAGTTTCAGACACAATAAGTACATACAGTATATATAAAAAACAGAGGAACTTGATTTCTTCAAGCTGTATTATGCATAGACACAGTCTTACTTGGAGGGGTGTCTCATGCCCACTGACCTTTAACAGAAGACTTTTTGCCTTAATAATATCCATTGAGTATGCACTAGGTCAGTCCCAATGGGATAAAGGGCAGTGCATGCTTTCAGTTCCTCAGTATCCTCTCAACCATGGAGTTTTATACCAAGTTGAGTCCAAGGAAAAGAGGAAGGATGTGTACGTGGACAAAACATGTCGAAGAACTCCAGTTGCTGGTAAATGCTTTTTTTTCTCTCTTTTGAGCAACTGCCCACAAAAATTAGAGGGTGGGTTCAAAGCAGTGCCCACCAACTTGGAGATGGGTTTCACAGAACCCTCAGTTGAACAGCAAGTGGAGGATCACACTGCCAATCATGTTACCTGCCCTCAAAGTTTCTAAAATAGCATTTTTTTGCTAAAGTCTGATTAATTATCCAAGTGATGGCATTTCAGATGTCACTTATGAGGACATGAAACAGGCATACTGCCTGGACTGTGGTAGGCTTCTAGCATAGTTTTCCAAAACCCAAAATCAAGTCTGACAACTTTTGGACAGATATCACTGCATCTTTAGATACTCTGATGCAAAACAATGCAGAGACTTTCTGAACAGCTGCCCAAGGAAATTTTCACTAACATTAAATTGTTTATAGAACACAGCAATAGGAAAGGGGAAAGTATTATCAATTAGGCTGTGACGCATGAAGGAAAAATAGAACAAAGCTTTTAGATCACCAGTATTGAAGAATTGTTCTGAGGTGCCCAAACAAACGAAACATATGCTGAAGATTTGTAGACATCGTGTTTTACCTCCAGGTTTTCTTAAAACCTTGTTGAACAACAGAACAGCTTGGTCCTATAAAGGTTACAGATCAAAGCACTCTTAACATCCAGTGAGTGCAGCAAAGCTTCTGCTTATGATGGATGGGACCTCAGGAAGAACAACAGCAAGTTAACATGCTTTCCCAAATGAAACCTGTGACTTGAACATGAGCTTTACCGTCCCCTTCTCTGGGAAGGAGGTGCTGGGAAAGCAGATCTGTCATAAGTGCCTGGATCTCATCTTCTATCTCTGTTGACATAAACACTATCAAAAAAGCTGTTTTCATGGAAAGAGGGAGGAAGGAGCACTCTACCACAGACTCATTAGGGATGTGAGACAAACTCAGATCCCTTTGTGGAAATGAGTCTCTCACTTGGGGAAGGAATCTGAACAGGCATTTAAAGCATCTGAGGCACATCTACTGGTGAAAATGTGCATCTGTGGACAAGTACTCAACGGAGAAATAATAACATATTTGCAGTACTCTATGTACTTCTGAAACATTATTTATTTAAGTGAAACAAATAGCTTTTTACCCCTGAGCTTTTCAAAATCAGGAATTACAAGCAAGAATTCAGCCTTCTGTTATATTTTTTAAGAGGACTGGTAGAAAACCCAGATAAAATAACACTAAATTGGTCATGTGGCAGTCACTAAATTACTTCAATTTACAGCAATATCAAGGTCAAGCATAGGGGCATAAGCACCAAGAAAAAAGAAGCATATCTTAATTTACACTTGGTACATAGTGATTTTTCCTCAAATGGATACCAAATGCAGTATTAGGATCCTTAAAATCAGTATCCACATAGGGGATAGTGTAGTTTGTGTCGGCTGCAAAAGCCATGATACATAAGTACTTGGGCAGCTAGCTGATGCTAAGCTCCATGCTGCTACAGCTACACTGCCAGCAGTACTTGAGCCAGCTGCTTTAAACCTAGCTTGGGTATATCTGGATGATCTGTAATTATCACTGAGGTGACTTGTGCAGATATACCTAGAATTGGTACTATGCCCCTGACATCCAGAAAAAGTAATTATTTCACAACTTTAAATGTTAGCTAAACTATACAAGCAAGGAAATTCACATTTAAAACTTCCATTCCTTCCATATATAAAACTCCCATGTCTCAGTATTTTACCTGATGTAACATACAACATACATGATCCATGATACATTGTACATAAATCAAAACTAGAGTTCAAGCTTCTTGAATGCACAATGGAAACATTGATGTGCAATGAATTCAAGCTCTTCTAATTTATTATACGTGTACAAAAATTTAGGCACACATAATTTTAACTTAACATAATTTCAGACCTGTCATACTGTGTTGGGAACATCTACTATATGCCTACTTTTTAAAAGAGCTATGTGAAACCCTGAACTCCAAATCAACTTGCATTACGCCTGCACCTATGTATGAAGTCTTGGCCCTAAGCATATCAATGAGATCGTGGCCAATAACTTCAATGGAGTATTAGATTTCACCCTATCTGTTCAAGCACCTTAGTCTATAAGTGTGCCACCTGAGTTGGGAAGTTGAATATACTACCTCCACTAACTGCCCTCCTTCTAGTTGTGTTCAGTTTCTCTATAGATTATTTCCAATGACAGTGTGTTCCTATTTAGCATAGAGATAAAATAGCACACACTACGCAACACACTTTTTCCATTTTCAGGAGTACTACAAGGACCTGCAATACAAACAATGGTGGGATGTATGCTCCACCTGAGGTATATGAAATATTATAAGAAGTGAATACGTCTACTTGCTTGCGGAAAAACAAACATTGCTTGTAATGTATCTTTGTCAAAAAAGTCAAGTTAAAAGTGTGTGTGTGTGTGTGTGTACACTATTTTTCCTCTATTCAAAAGTATCAACAAGTTACACCCCCCTTTGAAAAACAGAACACATTGAAATATTGTGTGTGCTATTTTATCAAGGATGCTTTTAAAAATTCTCAGCAATTCTGAAATCTATTGAAGTTTTCCTTCTAACAAAGAAATATCTAGACTCTTCCCATGGAATTTATAAACACAGAGAAACCTAAAGGGACCTGTAAATGAAAAGGATAAAAACAAACTGGAGAGCTCAATCCCCCTTTGTGTGAATACAAAGCATTTTATAACACAGGCAACATTTTCAAGGAGAAACATGAAATCAGAACAATACTAAAACTTCCTTAAAGTAATGCTATAAACTACTAATGTTTGGATTTTTGCAAAAGAAGACTAAATTTAAATGCCAGGAAGAAATAAGAAGACACCAGTACTTACGTCTTACAGCAATGTTCAGACTCAGGAATTAAATACAGTGATTTCATTTTACAGTTCATGCTTAAACATTAACATATCTATATAATTTTACAGCAGCAAAAAATGAGTAAAACTTTTTGAAGAGCTTATTTTACAGATTTTTCTTCAGAGTAGCAATATCATCACTGAGGTGCTTTTTTAAAAGGAAAAAAAAAAATAAAATGATTTCCAACTCACTGAGAGATCTGAGTCAATTTCCAGGTGTGTCTCCAAAAAATGGCATCTCACACACTTGCTTCATTATTCAACACAAAAACACTGGTGTTTCCGACTAATGTGATCACCTTCTTTCTATTTGTATCTGGTTGCTTTAGATAACACAGACAATTTGTGAACAATGTCATTGAATATATATGAGCATGGTATCCAATCATCGAAAGGAGAATGTTTTGCTTATCAGAGTGGATATTCCCACTTTATTTTTAGCAGGCTGGTCTCTACTTGGAATAATTTTTTATACCGAAGTGCTAATTAAT